AAGTACTTTACATAAACATTATTGTTGACAGTAATCCCTTTGTATTTGATCAATCATCTAAATCAGTTTCATAATAACAAGTGTTGTGTTAACAGCCTGAAATAACAGTTGAACATTGGACAATTTCTGACCATTTTGAACAATTGTCAAATCAAAATTTTGGTTGTTCTACCATTTTTGTCTGAGCAACATAATTTTTAAACTAATGATATCACTTTTAACCATTTAATACGACTCTAGGGTTTCTGACACAAACTATGCTTCATGAGCTGACAAGAACTACTATACAGTACAATGCATTTGGAGCAAATTTAAAAATTCATAAAAAATTCAATGTAGAATTTATTCTAAATTATTTTGATGAAATTTGGTCTTGGACCAAAGGCTATAAGCTTTTGGTTGTTGGCCTGATTTTCTAGCAACTTCAAAAATTCATTAAAAATCCAATATTGATCAGAATCAGCTCAAAGTTGAAACACAACATAAGAAAAATTATAAAAAAAGAAAATTCTCTCTTGGTCATTTTTGACAAAACTTGGTCTCGGATCAAAGGTCATTGGCTCAATTCTTGAGCAACTTCACAATCTACTGACAAAAAACATATGAGCAGTTGAGCACTATGTCAAAATCTTTGAAAATCCTGTCAGACTGTTTCATTAAAAAAGCATATCCAATTAAGCAATGTTTAGAGAGAATATCTGTAAATTGCTTGAATGTAATTATATTTTAGGCACTGGTGTTCTACTGGGTTATCCACACTCCCTTTTTGTCAATACAAATGTACATAAGAAGTAAATTTAGTCATACAATATATATTGAAAGGTAATTCACACAAGTGAAGAATAATTACAAGATTTAACTCTATTACTTGTGCCATAGCAAAACATTTGCTAATGACATCAATGTATGAAACTAATAACTCAGTAAAAATTGAAAGTGAAAAAAAATTATACCACACAAGAATAGCATGAACTAAAGGGATAAGTTAATGATCATTTCTGTCTCTGTTATATTGTTCCTCTTGTTCCATGTATCTTTGATAATGATCATCAACTATCTGAACAATATTAACTTCATTCTCTCTCACACGATACTTGTAACGTTTAGCCAGTATCATAAACACTATCAGTATGATAAGAACTAGTACACTCTTTGTTATATGATAATAGAGGCTAGTACATATGTATTGACTCTCACAATTAAATGGAAACTTAAAAGTAATGCTAACGATATAGCCAATTGCAGAAGTGACAAACCACAATCCAACCATCACTCCTCTCATGTGTACTGGAGACTGAGCTACTGTAAACTCCAGTGATACTGGATAATCAGTGTAATAAAGTGGCCATTTGATTCCTGACAATGGAAAGGAGTCAGGAATTACAAAATTCACTCATTGTTTGGCCTAGCAAAATCTGGGTTTGCAAAATTGCACTTCGCAGTTTACTAGCTGATGGCGGAATGATAAACTGCGCATGCGTACAAGCTCACACGTGTGTTGGTGCTTAAGAGAGAAGCACCAGCTGGTAAACTAGTTAAACTGGTGGTAACTTACGAGCTATGAGACAAGAGAGAGAGATTATGTTACAATAGTACATACTACAGTACATCATTAGTAGCTACTCACTTATTTCAATGAACATTTCCTCAACATTCCTAGCAGTGAGAGCACTAGTCTCTCCAAATATGGCATTAACTTCTGATGCATAAGTCTGACCTTGTTCAGCTGGAATCTGAGAGGAGAGGAGAAGGGAGGAGGGAGAGAAAGGAGAGGAGATAAAAGGAGAGTATAATAGAGAGAGGGAGAGAGAGAGAGAGGATTCATTACATTTTCTGATACATATTGATGTACTTATGCTGTGTAGAAAGTTTGAGGTGATTCGTGATTTTCTACTTTTTGGCCATGATAAAATGTATTTAATTATTTTCGCAGATTTTATTAACGTAAAATTGACAAAAACTTTGGGCCACAAAAGTTTTTGCTATATGCTAATCATAATAGTTTACCTGCCAAAAGCTCCGTATGTGTTGATAATCCTCAATGTTTCAAAGCTAGTACTGATTCATCTGTTGTCTACTGGAGAGAAGATTCTGTACAACAGGAATACTGAGATAATAGATATGGCTAGTTATAGGGGGGTTGTATATCACCAAAAATATAGAAATAACCGGTTACGACTTGTTAACTGGTTATTGTACATTAGTGGTGCACAACCAATGACATGGCTGCTCTGTTAGACTAGGTGTATAGTATCATGGTGTCAGTATATATCTGCATCATCTGCATGAGGCTATCTAGGTTGCCTGTAGTTTGGTTATCAACTGTGGTTACCTATGGTTACCTATGGTTAACTGTGGTTATCTATGGTTAACTGTGGTTAACTGTGGTTAAGTGTGGTTATCTATGGTTAACTGTGGTTAACTGTAGTTATCTATGGTTAACTGTGGTTATCTATGGTTAACTGTGGTTACCACAAAATGTGAACACTACCAAATTGATCCCTTTGATTTATATACATGTTGTATCTCTGATAATGATCATCAACTATCTGAACAATATTAACTTCATTCTCTCTCACACGATACTTGTAACGTTTAGCCAGTATCACAAACACTATCAGTATGATAAGAACTAGTACACTCTTTGTTATATAATAATAAACACTAGTACATATGTATTGACTCTCACAATCTAATGGAAACTTTAACATGCTGTTAATGAGATTACCAAGCCCCGAAGCAGTAGCATACCACAATCCAACCATCACTCCTCTCATGTGAACTGGAGACTGAGCTACTGTAAACTCCAGTGATACTGGATACAATAATATAAAAGAGAGTCCTTGGATAGTTTGTGGAATAAAGAGTAATTTACCAAAGTTGTTTATGTCAGGATGAGACCTCTCATTGACAAATATGATCACTTTAGAAACTGTAACAATGAAAGCAAGGAAGATACCAACACTCATTCTAGTCAGCATAC